AAATATGTAGATTTTGACTGAAGGTTCTCCTGTATAGCTCTACAAATAAGCAGATAAGGAGAGATCCACAGAGAGAAATATTGATAGCAAGTGTGGACTGGAGGCTTGATGTTTTCTTGTTGAGAGAGCCAGACTACATAAAACTGAAATTTGACAAAGAGAGACAGGACTTAATTACATTTGTTTTAAACAATTCTGTGACATTGGATAAATGAATACTGCAATTAATTTGAACTAGTCCTATTTTGTAAATACAAATTAAATTACTTCAGGAAATGCTTCATTTCCTTATGCAACAACTTTGTCAGAGTTTCATTTCAAAGACATAAAGCAGGCTACATGTGATCAGTGGACATGCACATCTTTAGCAGACGCTAACATGAAAGCAGATATACTACAAAACATTCATCATCCTTCAGCAAGCAGTGATTTTAATATTTGTTGCAACAATATTTTCAAGTTAATTTAGAATCACTATTTTGAATGCAAGGCATTTAATTATAAAAATCATAGGCCAACATTTTCAAAAGTGATGAGTGATTTTGGGTGTCACTGGAAACCCTTTGAGCTATTAGGATGTTTCAAGTTGGGCACCCAAAATTAGAGCATCTACAACCACTTTTGAGAATCTTAGCCATAGTTAGAACCAAGATTACCATAATTCTCATCCATTTAGATCTACAGTAGATTTTAGACCATGACATGCTTTGTCAGCTGTATGCTCAAAACTATTTTGCTGCAAGCCTTTCGGAAAATACGTTTTCCCAAAAGAAGTCCACCGAAGCTCAAACCTTTTGTAAATAATTTTGATGACAATACAACTGGCATTTTCTGCAAAGCAAGGGAAACTGAGAAGAATTCACTCTACACCTTCTGGGCTGCTTAAATCAGCATTGGTGTATGGAATGTAAAACATTTTAAAACTTTGGGAACAAGGTTAAAAAGAGTATTCTTCCAGATTTTTTCCCTCCGTACAGTCTTTTTAACCTCTGATTTCAGATGATTCTCAAAACTTTATTTTAGAAAACACAATTGCCAAACATCAAATTATTAGTGAAAGGATCTAATGGAAAATGGGCTGATCTAAAGATGTTTTAGCTGTATTTCAAGCTCTACAATTTAGGGGCACTTTAAAAAAAATCCCATTTCCTTGTACAACTTAAAGCAAATAAGCTAACCACATCATAGATCTGAATTTACGAAAACCACATGGCTATTTTATTTTCTTCTTTTTCAAATCACTTTTTGCTTAAAATAATACACTACCATAGTACTCTGAACCAAACGTATGTAGTTGAGATCATCTGTTTCACATAACATTTTGCCATGCTAAGGGGAAAAAACATATTTCTGTCCCCAAGAGGCTATTGCAATAAATATCTTCTGAGCAGCCCTTAAAATTCTATCAGTTTATCAGAATTCTTCTTTGTTTACCACAACCATTTGTTTAGAGCAGAATACATACATGTCTATTTCATACACAAACAATCTAGATATATGGAAGAGGTATGATAGAATATTTTGGGCCGAGCAGAAGATAATTGCAGTTTGCCTCTGCCTGATAGTTTGGGCCTGGTAGTAAGGGAGTCTGAGGAGAAGACTGGCAGCTGGGCAGAGGAGCAGAAGAGTACATGACTGAAGCTGCTGGGATCAGGTAGGACAACAAATCATTCGGAAAGGATCTTGAAACTCTGGGACAGGATCCAAAATATAGGTGAATTCATACCCCTCCCTCCATAGTTTTAGTTCATTCCATTCTCTGTAAAATCAACCTAACACTAATAACATTCTTCCCTTCAATAGAGCAGATCTTCAGCTAGTATAAATTGTCATAGCTCCACTGAAGTCAATACTGTCCTCAGTATATCTAGCAGCTATCTTACAATGGTATAGTATAACATTGGAAAACAGTGCTCAACATCCAGTCTTCCTACCAGTCTTAGGGCTTGTCTATAGTTGAAAATTTATCAAAATAAGTATTTAGTTATTTTAGTATAAGTCCCTGGACACTCTTCTTCTAGAATAAGAATGTCCTCATGAGATTTTATACCAAGATAACTATTCTGGAATAATTATTGCAGAATCACAATTTTGGTGAATTTCCAAGTGAAGACAAACCCTTATAAAAATACAAGAATAGTGTCTACTAATGTCTTAAAGCACATTACTGATTATATTATATAATGGTAAGTAGTAACTATTCTAAACTGTAATGTTTTGGACATTTACTACAGAACGAGGTAGTTTATTTTATAAGAAAAATAGAATATTGTTGAATACAAGAGTACAATATGAAGCTATGTGCAATGAACAGCTGTAGCAGAGAGAAAATAGGAGAAAAGGGAGAGTAAGGTAATGTGATGGTATTTGAGGTACCAAATCCAAGAATTTTGCTGTAAGTCATGGAGTCCAGTACCGCAGCCAAATTTGTGACATCTGTTTTGGTTTGTGATTTAATCCATACACCTCTGTAAATCTCTGCTCATAGCACAGTAATGATACTGCAATTTTCATGCAAGCAGACTGCTTGGGCACTAAATGATCTGGAAAAAGGGGTAAACAGTGAGGTGGCAAAATTTGCAGATGATACAAAACTACTCAAGATGGTTAAGTCCAAAGCAGACTGTGAAGAGGGATCTCACAAAACTGGGTGACTGGGCAACAAAATGGCAGATGAAATTTTACTTTGCATTTATCAATTGCTGTTGATAAATGCGAAGTAATGCACATTGGAAAACATAATCCCATCCATACAATAAAATGATGGGGTCTAAATTAGCTGTTACCAATCAAGAAAGAGATCTTGGAGTCATTGTGGAGAGAACTCTGAAAACATCCACTCAGTGTGCAGCAGCAGTCAATAAAGCTAACAGAATGTTGGGAATTATTAAGAAAGGGATAAATAATAAGACAGAAAATATCATATTGCTTCTATATAAATCCATGGTACACCCATATCTTGAATACTGCATGCAGATGTGGTCGCCCCAACTCAAAAAAAGATATATTGGAATTGGAAAAGGTTCAGAAAAGGGCAACACGAATTATTAGGGGTATGGAACGACTTCCATATGAGGAGAGATTAATAAGAATGGGACTTTTCAGCTTGGGAAAGAGACTACTAAGGGGGGATATGATAGAGGTCTATAAAATCATGACAGGTGGGGAGAAAGTAAATAAGGAAGCGTTATTTACTCTGTCTCATAACACAAAAACTAGGGATCACCAAATGAAATTAATAGGCAGCAGATTTAAAATAAACAAAAGGAAATATTTCTTCACACAATGTACAGTCAACCTGTGGAACTTGTTGTCAGCAGATGTCGTGAAGGCCAAGACTATAACAGGGTTCAAAAAAGAACTAGATAAATTCATGGAGGATAGGTCCATCAATGGCTATAAGCCAGAATGGGCAGGGATGGTGTCCCTAGCCTCTGTTTGCCAGAAGCTGGGAATCGGTGACAGGAGATGGATCACTTGATGATTACCTTTTCTGTTCATTCCCTCTGAGGCATCTGGCATTGGCCACTGTTGGACAGGATACTGGGCTAGATGGACCTTTGGTGTGACACAGTATGGCCGTTCTTATGTTCTAATGCTTAAACATAACAGTTAAAGAAGATGTGGGTGGGTGTGATGGAGAATAAAAGCAGGGGATACACATGGCCTCTGACACAAGTCAGGGTACCAGTCACTCCATAACAACACTTCTCTCTCTGTCTGAAATAAACAGGGATCTTGAAGAATATATTTTCAAATCTCTTTAACAGAGGGAGAATGCTGTGATGATGGTTCAGCAGTCTAGTGAACAGAAGAAGCATGAGGCTATATTGATGGACATTTTCCTTTTCCAGATGTGTGGATCCTTCATTCAAGCAACAGCAGAATACAAAATAAAAACAACTACAATAACAATAATATTCTAGCTTCAACTGGCTAAATCAAGAAGTTGTTTCTCCATCCTCAGCTGATGTAAATCAGCATAGTGCTATTGAAGTAAATGGCTCTATGCTGTCTTACATCAGCTGAAGATCTGACCCACTGCATCCAGCTATGGTCTAGTTCCCATGCCAAAGCATTTCTGTCAACAGCACGTGTGCCAGAAGAGAGAAGCACCATGGGGTGAAACATGGAAAGAGTTGCACATTGAAAAATGAATCTCTTTGTTATAAGATTCTGTCTGAATTTAGGTGACAATTTTTAAGTATTTAATTTCCTTTTTTTGTAACAAGAGTAGTAGTCAGCTATTCAGTCACTGTCACAGTTGTAGTTAACATTATTACGTTTTTCCAACACAACAAAGTACCTAAACAACGATTTCCCCAGCTAGGTTTTCCTTAACTCATTGTTGTTCTCAAACTTTATTTCTGAATCCCCAGAGACATTCAATTTGATGCATTACAGTGGAGTTTAAAAGGAAGAAAAAGACCTACCATTATCTTAAAGTTGTCCCTGAATTTTATGAATTAAAAACACAAAATCAAATGCTAACCAAACCACCATGTGACCGTGAAGCATATTTACTAAACTACATTTTGGCAACATAATTTTATAATATATTTTAAGGGGGAAAGGGGAGACGTCACTCCTTTTCAGACAGTGAAGAAACATAGTGATGAATTACTGTATTCAGATACATTTGGCTTCCATCCCAGGGTGGCTACCTCTGCTAGATCTTCAAATACCATTTTCTATGCCACATGATATTGGAGACTTATTTGTAATATAAGTAATTTCTTATTGATTAATTCATACAGTTCAAATCACATACCTTAACATTAAAACATCACTATCTCTTGGGAGTTTCTTCTAATCATAACAAATAAGTTAATATCAAAAAGTACCCCAACAGTACTCTTTTAAGCAATGTAAACAAGAGGTTTAGATCCATAGTTATAAACATGTTAATTTTGATTCCTACAAATCTCCCTTTTCCTTCCATGAAACCCTTTCATTATGTGCTTCTCTTCAAACAGATAAAGCCAGCTGATCTTTTGTACCTGTGTGTTTTGTAAAACAGGCACCTCTTCAGGGGAATCTTTACTACATGTTCCTGAAGCCCCACAAACAGAACACTCTGGCTATGCAGAATTTGCAGGCTCCTGATAGGTTCTTTCTGCCTCCGTGGAAAGAGCTCAATTTCTTCAAGTAAGCAGCTGCTTGAAGTCTGATTCATTGGAGCGAGTACTTTCTTAATAGTGCCATAGTCTGTAAAGGCAAAGGGGAAAATTACAAACTGGAAATCATATAGGGAACACTACCTACTCAATGCCACTCAGCAGTCACAGAAACTATTCTTCTCACACATTGGGAGGTTTTGTAAGAGGCCATTTAATTTGGAGGATTCAGCTGGTTTTTCTATTAGTGTAAACTGCACACTATACAAGTGAAAGGAAACTGAACAGCTATAAATATTTTATAAAACAAACAATGGCAAAGCAGTTTAGGAGCATCAGACAAACACCTTAAAACAGTGGATACTGGAAGATCCACATTCAAAGCTCAGCTATTATGGGCACACATCTGCAGAATCCATTTATAACAAGAACGATGACCAGAGAGTGTATAGACAGTCCCATCATTTCTAATTTACAAGACTATAGTATACCTATTTTTAAAGGACTCAACAAAAATTAAGAAAGTACACTGTTGCCTCACTTGATCTGCTTTTGTAAATGAATGAATTTACCTACAGACTACGAACAAATAGAATAGCTATTATTAATCTCTTTAAGGAAGTGCACAAAATATGAAGAGCTGTATATTTGTTTATTTGGTAATGGTGTATGACACTACAAAATACAAGTGCTTCATACAGATTGTCTAATCATTTTGATCCTTTTTAGAGAAAGTAATCACCTTTCCTCTGACTGAGAAATACAGTGATTCACACTGCATGCTACCTTCCGATTGGTCACTTCTGAGCAAAAACTGTTAATCACGCCAACTCGATGCCAGACCATTTATGAGATTTCTGAATATAATTAAGTATTCTCAACATTTACAAATATTTAATATGAAAAAAAAGGACCAAATTCTCATCTGGTGTAAACACCAGACAAGGGTCTGGCCGAAAGAGAGTACTACACCACTACCTCGATATAACGTGACCTGATATAACACGAATTCGGATATAATGCGGTAAAGCAGTGCTCCGGGGGGCGGGGCTGCGCACTCCGGTGGATCAAAGCAAGTTCAATATAACGCAATTTCACCTATAACACGGTAAGATTTTTTGGCTCCCGAAGACAGCGTTATATCCAGGTAGAGGTGTATGTGATTCTCTGTGTGCTGCAAATGGTGAACATTAAGGGTTCAGTCATGCAAACCCTTACTTACACAAATAATCTTTATCCATACAAGTTGCCCTTTTCAGGCAAATAGGGCAACCTATGTGAATGAGGAATGCTCATGGGAGTAAAAGCTTGTGTAATCTTTGAGTGGGCTAGAGTTCACTTCATTTCCCGTCTCCAGTGCCTTAAAAAAAAACAAAAAAAACCTCCTCCCATAGAAAGTAGCTGGAGCCCCTGAGTTCAGTTTCTAAGGATTTTCAGCACGGATTGCACAGGGTCAACCTCCCCACATTCAAGTCCCAAAAGGAACTAAATAAATTAATTTAATGAAATAACTTTATAAAATCTTATGATAAAGAAACAAATAATAATCTAATTTTTACAGCATGACATGGCTATTTTATAATCCATAGACATTACCTTCACAGTTATACATAAACACAAATAAAGAAAAATTAAAATCTTAACAGTTCAATCCCCACAGAAATACAGTAATAAGAAACTGAAAGTCCCCCAAAACTTAGTTCACATAAGTCTTCGTTAGAGGCTTTGATCACCAAATCTATACAGTCTGCGGAGTCTAAAACAACATCTTCCCTCCAATTCAGAGGTGGGCAAACTACGACCCGTGGGCCACATCCGGCCCGCGGGACCGTCCTGCCCAGCGCCTGAGCTCCTGGCCCAGGAGGCTAGCCCCCGGCCATTCCCCTGCTGTCCCTCCTCCCCCACAGCCTCAGCTGGCTCGCTCCGACAGTGCAATGCTCTGGGCGGCAGGACTGTGAGCTCCTGGGGCAGTGCAGCTGCAGAGCTAGGCCTGACCCGGTGCTCTGAGCTGCGTGGTGGTGGCTACAGCGGCAGCATAACCCGGCACTAGCCGGCGGCGCGGTTGTAGCGCTGCCAGGCACCAGTGCTCCAGGCAGCGCGGTAAGGGGGCACAGAGTAGGGGGGGTTGGATAGAGGGCAGAGGAGTTCAGGGTGGTGGTCAGGGGCAGGGGTGTGGATAGGGGTCGGGGAGGGACCGGGGGGTTGAATGGGGGCAGGGATCCCGGGGGGCAGTCAGGAATGAGAGGAGGGGTTGGATGGGGCAGGAGCCCCGGGGGGGGCAGATAGGAGGTGGGGGACGGTAGGGCTACCATACGTTCGGATTTCCCCGGACATGTCCGGCTTTTCGCTCTTTAAATAGCCATCTGGGGGGGGGGGGGAGAGATTTCTAAAAATATCCGGCATTTCTCCCCGGTCGGCTATTTATCGACCGAAAAGCAGCTGACAGGGTGGCCGAGTGCCGCTCGCATTGGGGCCTCGGCAGCCAAAGCCCCTTCCCAGCTCCCCCCATCCCCTGCAGCCTTAGCACGCCGCCCAGCAGCGCTGGGGGGCAGGGCTGTGCGCCTGTGAGGGAACGTGGCGGCAGGGCTGGCAACGGCGGCCAGAGCCCCTCCCCCGCTTCCCGCCTCCTCCACAGCCTCAGAACGCTGCTCGGCAGCGCTCGGGCGGGGCGCTCCTTGGAGCACGGAGCCAGACACCCGCTCTAAGCCAAGCGGCACGGTAAGGGGGTTGGGGAGTTGGAGAAGGGGGGCTGTCAGGGGACAGGGAGCGCGGGGAGTTGGATGGGTTGGGAGTTCGGGGGGGGCTGTCAGGGGGGCAGGGGTGTGAAGAGATGTTGGGACAGTCAGGGACAGGGAGCGGGGGGGTTAGATGGGTCGGGGGTTCTGGGGGGGGCTGTCAGGGGGTGGGAAGTGGGAGGGAGTCGCTAGGGGGCAGGGCTACCCCCCAATGGAGTGTGCACTTTTTTGAAAGTGCAGATATGGTAACCTTAGGGACGGGCCACACCCCCCTCCCCTAACCGGCCCTCCATACAATTTACAAAACCCAGTGCGGCCCTCAGGCCAAAAAGTTTGCCTGCCCCTGCTCCATTTGCTTGTAGGAATCTTCAGATGGAATCCATGCAGACTCTTCCTCTGCTGAAATCACTGCTAGCCAGTCAGCTAACTGATCAACCAACCACTCCGTTAAGTGTATAGATTTAAAGACAACCCTGTTACAAGAAAATACAAAACTGACAATAGCAAAACAGAAATGACTCTTTCCCCATTATTGCATTTAAAGAAAAGTTGGTGAATCAGACTATTGAGACAATTTAACTAGAACAGTTTGGCTAAAATCAGAACAACATTCAAAGCATACAATTAAAATAGAAGTTATTTTTCCCTCCCAGTTTCCCCTTGTTATAATCAGCATTGCTCAGGCTTCCCTGTTAGAGGCTTAACAATATCATTAACCTGCTGCAAAACGCTTCACAGTTAGGGACAACAGCCTGCTTTCTTCGCCTGGGCTCAGCTTCCCAACTCACACAGGTAGGGTGACCAGACAGCAAGTGTGAAAAATCGGGACAGGGAGTGGGGGGTAATAGGAACCTATATGTGAAAAATCGGGACAGGGAGTGGGGGGTAATAGGAACCTATATAAGAAAAAGACCCAAAAATCGGGACTGTCCCTATAAAATCGGGACATCTGGTCACCCTACACACAGGGCACCTGGCCTGTGGCAATGCAGCTGCCCTGCCTGCTTGCCCTCATGGAGTCTGACCCTAGCAACAGGGAACCTACTGGAGCATACCCCAAACTACCACACCCAATTCCAGAAGCATCTGGATGTGGAGTGCTTAATCTGCCTAGCAACAGTGACCCAGACACAGCTCACTCCTACCTCCCCACAATGGGTCTCTTAAAGAAATATTTCCCTATTAGGCACATGGGTTACACTTGCATGGTCAGAGTCATGACCTCTGAATACGTCTTGCTTAGGCCTTCAGATTACACTTGCATTTCACAGAAAATAAAATCATTTAACACCATTCTCTGTATCTCTCTCCTTTCTTGGAATAAACATATTTGGAAGGATTTACTGTAGAAAAGAATATTTGTTTAAAACTACCTTCTGAACTACAATTTTTATTTTTATTATAATTTTACCCCCTCCCCTCCCAAATATAACCAGTCAAATTGCAATTGACTGTCCCTTTCGCTCAATCCACCTAAAGTATAATTACATCTAAAATTAATTAAACCCTTAGCAGACTGTGATTCTGCATTACAGGTGAGTGTGAAGTAGCACAGTAGGCAGAAGGCATGACAGTAAAAGACTGTTCCGAGTACTGGTGACTGGATCCAGAATCTTAACTGCAGTCGCATCAAGTTTCAAGGTCAGTGCACACTGTTTGAACTACCACCAAAAAAAAAAGTCATTAGCTGAGTTGCTTTGTGGATAAGCTTGAAATTATACTGTGGTCCATCATCCCTGCTGGAAATGGGATGTGAAGCTAGGGTTACCATATTTTAAAAATAAAAAAAGAGGACACTCCACGGGCCCTGGTCCCGCCCCTGCCCCTTTCCCGCCCCTGGCCCCGCCTCAACTCCGCCTATTCCCCGCCCCTTCCCCAAAGTCCCCGCCCTAACTCCCCCTCCTCCCTCCCAGCCATGCGAAAAGGGCTGCCCAAGCGCTATCGGCTTCACGGTTTGCCGGGCAGCCCCCAGACCCTGCGCCCTCGGCTGGCGCTTCCCCAGCGCAGCTGGAGCCTGGGAGGAGAAGCGCCCAGCTGGGGGCGCAGGGTCTGGAGGCTGCCCAGCAAACCGTGAAGCCGGTAGCGCTTGGGCTTCGGGCAGCCCCCATGCCTCCGAACCCTGCGCCCCCGGCCGGGCACTTCCCCTCCTGGGCTCTGTCTGCTGTGCTCCTCCCCTGACTCTTTGGCTCTGTTTAAGAGCCAAGCTGCCCGAGCGCTACCGGCTTCGGGCAGCCCCCTTGCCTTCGGACCCCGAGCCGCTGGCCGGGCACTTCCCCTCCTGGGCTCTGTCTGCTCTGCTCCGGCGGCGCAGG